GACCTAAAAGTCTGAGATTCTTGTCTTCACTGAACCAGCAAAAAGCCAGAAGTAGAGGCGTAGCTCAGGTGGTAGCGGGCCAGCCTTAAGCTAAAAAAAGCTACCCCCAGGCCTGGGAGTGAAGTCTCAGAGCCCCCCTTCCCCCCAAAACGGTGTAGGGGGCAGATGAGTGGATTAGGAGCTTGCCAAAGAAATGAGAGGAAAGGAACCTGGGTTTGTGTTGGTTTGATTTTTGCTTTTGTGTGAGCATGGCCTCGAACACCGGGCCTGGGTGCTGTCCCTTAACTTTATAGTACAGAGTGCTTTGCCCCTTGAGCCACAGTTTCACCTCAGGTGGTTGATTGGGCTTATGCTCTCCTTCCCGGGGCTGGCTTTGAACCACGATCCTCAGATCTCAGCCTCCTGAGGAGCTAAGCCAGGGTGCCAGCTGTGAGCCACCAGCGCCCAAGCCTTGAACTCAGCGCCTGGGCGCTGTCCCTGAGCCTCTTTGGCTCAAGGCTAGCATTCTACCCCTTGAGCCACAGCGCTGCTTCTGGCTGTTTCTGTGTATGTGGTGCTGAGGAATCGAACCCAGGTCTTCATGCATGCTGGGCGAGCGCTCTACCACTGAGCCACCTGCCCAGCCGGCTCCCTTCTCTTTCTGTCTAATGTTTTATCCCAGACCACCCTTGAATTTCCCTGGGAAACCTCCCAGGTGAGCATTCAGGGGTTCACCTTGTCCACTAACTCAATCCGCAAGGCGTGTTCAGGACCCACGGTAATCCCAGCCCCCCACTTCTACACGCTTGGCGGGACAGCAGAGTGCTTCACAGAAATCTGTGTATTCATTCCACGCGTGTTTGTTGAGCACTTAGCTCCGGGTTGCATCTGAGAACCGAAGAAAAGCCAAGTCGGCCCACGTGATTCACTTAGTACACTGAAGCAACGAACAACATTAGAATATGTAAGCGAAGCGCTGGGCAGGTGGCTCAGTGGTAGAGCGCTCGCCTTGCATACATGAGGCCCTGGGTTCGATTCCTGAGCACCGCATAAGCAGAAACAGCTGGAAGTGGCGCTGTGGCTTAAGTGGTAGAGCGCCAGAGCTGAAGAGCTGAGGGACAGCGCCCAGGCCCTGAGTTCAAACCCCATGACTGACCAAAAAAACGAAGGATAAATAAAGTTATACAGTAGGTTTTTTTGACATATATGATTGGAGTCCACACACACACACACACACACACACACACTTTGTTTGGATTATTTTAGAATCTACTTATGCTCTTACATATGCAAAATAAGCATGTTTTTAGGTTTTTATTTGTGCAGCTTGTGTGTGTGTGTGTGTGTGTGTGTGTGTGTGTGTGTGTGCACCCATGTGCCAGTACCAGTTTTGTGTTGTTTTGTCAGTCATGGGGCTTGAACTCAGGGCCTGGGCGCTGTCCCTCAGCTCTTCAACCTAAGGCGAGCGCTCTACCACTTGAACCACAGCACCACTTCCGGTTTTCTGGAGGTTTATTGAAGATGAGTCTCACTGACTTGGCTGCCCAGGCTGGCTTTGAACCACCATCCTCAGATCTCGGCCTCCTGAGTAGCTGGGATGACAGGTGTGAGCCACTGGTGCCCGGCTAGTACCAGGTTTTTAAGTCTCTGTCTGGCACTGGCACTGGACTTTGTCAGCTCTGGGCTGGCGCTTTACCACTTGAGTTATGCCTCCAGTCTGGCCTTTTGCTGATCTTAGACTTTTGGGCTCAGGCGGGCCTCAAACCCCAATCCTCCCCATTAGTAACTTTTAAACTGGGAAGGGCCAAACTCCAACGATTGTTATTGTATGTTTTTGGACCATGAAGTTCGGTGCTGTGTGTCCAGAAGAAAAGGCACAGGTCTGGTCAGGTTCCCCGAGGGTGACTGGAAGGCGGAGCCAGGCTGATGGGCAGGCGGAGGAACGGGAGGAGGTGGAGGCTGAGGGCTGTTGCCCCACCCAGACATAGAGAGAGGTCCGAAGCTGGGCTGGGTCAGTTCCTCAGAGCAGCCACCAGGGGTCGCTTTACCACTGTAAATCATCCGCAGGGCACTAGAGATACACGCGGGAGTGTAACACAGACACACTGGGAAAAGCACACACATGGAATAAAACACTACCGAGAAGCAGACATCGGGACAGAAACCTATACAGCAGCTCACTAACGTCAGGGTCTGAAGGATGATCCCCCCTGTGGCTCACGCCTGCCATCACAACTACTCAGGAGGCTGAGATGGGAGGATCGCAGTTCAGAGCCAGCCTGGGAAGGAAAGTCCGTGAGACTCTGATCTCCAATAAACCACCAGAAAACCAGAAGTGGCGCTGTGGCTCACGGGTAGAGCGCCAGCTTTGAGCTGAAGAGCTGAGGGACAGTGCCCAGGCCCTGAGTTCAAGCTCCAGGACCAGCACAAACACACACACACACACACACACACACACACACACACACACACACGGGCAAAGAGGAAAAGGAGGCAACCATTTTTCCATTTTTCTTGTCTTCATGCGGCCAGGAAAAAGCTATTCCTGCGGATCACACTTACTTCCTTGAACTCTTCTTCTCTCTGGAATGTCCAGTTCCTTCTTCCAGAAAAGATGTGTGGGATTCGATCCCACAACTCCCACAGCTCCTGTGTGTGCTCACGAGACAGCCCCAAGCCTTCAGGACAGCCATTAACAGTCATAAAACACTTCAAGCTAGGTACCCGTAGCTCACACCTGTAATCCCAGCTACTCAGGAAGCAGAGATCCAGGAAATCGTGGTTTGAAGCCAGCCTAGGCAAGAAAAGCCCAGGAGACTCTCCAACTAACCAGCAAAAAATACACACAAAAAATGGGGTACGGAGCTATAACGCCCCAAGTCCTGAGTTGAAACACTTCTCTACAGCATGCTCTGGAAAAAATCAGGTGTGAAATCTTAACACAGTAATCCAAGTGTGGATCTCAAGGTATGTCTTTGGAACCACATCTTTGAGAAAGTTCTGGAAGTCAAATGTATTTCCATGCCGGGTGCTGGTGGCTCCCGCCTGTCATCCCAGCTACTCAGGAGGCTGAGATTTGAGGATCGTGGTTCAAAGCCAGCCCAGGCGGGAAAGTCTGTGAGACTCTTTATCTCCAGTTCACTAACAAAAAGTCAAAATGGAGCTGTGGCTCAAAGGTAGGACATCAGCATTGAGCACAAAAGCTCACAGATAGCACCCTGGCCCTAAGTTCAAGCCCCAGGACTCACACACACACACACACACACACCTTTTCATAATGCTACTAAAATGTCATTTGTCCTTTTCGCTCTACTTCTCTTGTATGTAGGCTCTGGAAAGTTCCAGAAACTTCATGAAATGTGATGCCATAACCACTCTCCCAATTAATGAAATGTGTGCAGTGTATTTCCGTGTCTTAAAACCTTATTGGCCACGGGGCTGGGCAGGTGGCTCAGTGGTAGAGCGCTTGCCTTGCATGCATGAGGCCCTGGGTTCGATTCCTCAGTACCACATAAGCAGAAAAAGCCAGAAGTGGTGCTGTGGCTCAAGTGGTAGAGCGCCAGCTTTGAGCTGAAGAGCTGAAGGACAGCGCCCAGGCCCAGAGTTCAGGCCCCACAGCCAACCAAAAACAAATGGGACTTCCCCATCTCAACAGATACGCTAAGTGTGGTAGCAGATGCCTGGAATCCAGGCCATGAAGGGAAATGGAGGTGAGGAAGGTTAATGATTCAAGGCCAGCCTAGGGCAAAAGCTTGAGACCCTGTCTGAAAAACAGAAGGGGTCGAGGCATGGTAGACTGACTGTTTAGCCAGTCAAAGCGCCCGAGTTCAAGCCTCCATGTTTATCCCATGCCAATGTTACCTGTAATCCTAGCTTACACACAGCACCGATATCTGGGGATCAAGGTTCAAATGTCGCTTGAGCACACAAATCCAGGAGATTCTTAATCTCCACACAGCCAGCAAAAAAAAATTTTAAAAAGCCAGGACCAGAGCTTGAGTGCCAGCATCCATACACACATTAAATAAAATGGCTTTAAGGTCTAACGTGTCAGTATAAATGACGCAAAGCCTTTTGAACTCCTCAGTTTTTGCAAGCAGAAAGTGCAGGAGACCAGAATACAAAGAATATTCTCCTTTGGGCAAAGCAGAGAAAATATTAAGCACATAGAATGGAGGAAATTCTAAAAGGGGGCAGCAGGCATGACTTGCAAACGGGGTCAAGAATTAAGATGAAGACAGAAAAAAAGACAAAAAAAGAGAAAAGTTTCATTTGCCAGGTACAGTAGTGCCCGCCTGTAATCCCAGCCACTCTGGAGGCTCAGCTCTGAGGATCATGGTTTGAAGCCAGCCAGGCCAGGAAAGTCTCTGAGACTCTCATCTCCAATGAACCACCAAAAAAGCCAGAAATGGCAGTATGGTTCAAGTGGCAGAGCAGCAGCCCTGAGCAGACAAAGCTATGGGGCTTGAACTCAGGGCCTGGATGCTGTCCCTCAGCAGTTCAGCTCAAGGTTAGCATTCTGGCTTTTTCTGCTTATGTGGTGCTGAGGAATCAAACCCAGGGCCTCACGCATGCGTGGCAAGCACTCTACCACTGAGCCACCTTCCCGGCCCAATGTTACACATTTCTAAGCAAGAAACCTAATTCCATCCTTATGGAATACACTTCATACTCTGCCTTCCTGCTGAGCAGAAGAAAACCACGCGAGACTAAGAGGCATTGGCCCCATGGCTGGAAGATCAGCCCAGAAGTTAGCGGGTGGTGGGATTTCTCTGAAGTTGGGGCCACCAAAGACTTGAGATTCTAAAGCACTCAGCCCCCGCAGCTGCCTCAACCCCAGATCCCCATATTAGACCCCACTTTTCAGTCTGAGCCAGGGCAAATAAGTCATTTTATTTCCCTCAGCTTGCAGGAAGGCTTCTCGGCCTGTTTTCCCCAACCTCACCAAGAAGTCAGTATCAGCCAGGAGCTGGTGGCTCAAGCCTGTCCATCCCAGCTACTCAGGAGGCTGAGATCGGAGGATCGTGGATCAAAGCCAGCCCCGGCAGGAAAGTCTGTGAGACTCTTCTTTGCATAGATGCTAATGATGCTCTGCCCAGTCCGTTTGCATAGAGGACAATGCCCCTCCCACCTCATTTGCATAGAGGATAAGGATGTCACTTGCATAGAAGGTAATGATGCTCCTCCTGCCTCATTTGCATAGAGGCAGCTGTTGCCTGGCCCAGCTCATTTGCATAGAGGACCGCGGCACTCTGCCCAGTTCATTTGCAGAAATGATAACGATGCTCTGCCCAGTCCGTTTGCATAGAGGATGATGAAGCTCCTCCCACCTCATTTGCATAGAGGATAACGATGTCTCATCCACCTCACATAGAGGGTAACGATGCTCCTCCTGCCCCATGTGCATAGAGGCGGCTGATGCCCCGCCCATCTCATTTGCATGAAGGACCACAGCACTCTGCCCAGTTCATTTGCATAGAGAAGGATGCTCTGCCCTGTTATTGGCGTCCAGGATGATGCTCCTCCCGTCTCATTTGCATAGGCCCAGTGTTGCCCCTCCCACCTCATTTGCATAGAGGATAACGATGCTCTGCCCGCCTCGTTGGGCGCGCACACCCTACCTGCGGAGGACGCGGCCCCTCGTGGGGGGTTCAGAGGGCGGAATCCGGGGGGGTCTGGGCGAGGGGCTTGCGGGCTTTGGGGAGCTGCAGCAACTCCTGAGTGGGGGCGTGCGTGGGGCGGGCGGGCCGCCCGGCCAGCGGCTCCCTGGCCCCGTTGGTGGCCCCGGGGCAGTGGCCGCGCGTGGCGTGGAAGCCCCGCAGCGTGTTGCGGAAGCCCTCGGCGCTGAAGTAATACACCAGCGGGTCGAGCACGCAGTTGGCGCCGGCCAGCAGCACCGTGACCATGAGCACGCCCCGCACCTGCCCGCGGGCCTCGGGGCTGGCGGCCACCAGCTGCGCGCGCAGCAGCCCGTACACCGCCAGGGTGCAATTGTAAGGCACAAAGCAGAGCAGGAAGATGAGCAGATTGGCCAGCAGGAGGCGCACCGTCTTGCGGCGGCGCTGGCTCGGGGTGGCCTGGGGCCGGGCCAGGGTCCAAAACACCAGCCCGGAGGAGGCCAGCACGGCCCCCAGGGGCACCAGGAAGCCCAGGGCCTCGGCCAGCAGCACCAGGGGCAGCAGGCGGCCCCTCCAGAGCTCATCCCCGAAGCTCTCGAAGCACAGGCGCACGGCCAGGTCCCTGTAGCTGCAGAGCGAGGGCGTGTGCACGCGCGCCGTGGGGACGGCGAACACCAGGATCAAGGCCCACACGGCCAGGCACACGCGGCGCGCCACGCGGGGCCGGCGCAGGTGGCGCAGGCGCAGGGGATACACGATGGCCACGAAGCGATCCACGTTGATGAGCATCAAGAAGATGCAGCTGCCGTACATGTTGATCTGGAAGATGGCGCCCGAGATCTGGCACAGGAGATCCGGGAAGGGCCAGTGGTGGAGGCTGTAATAGGACAGACGGAGGGGCAGCGAGAGCGTGAAGAGCAGATCGCTGGCCGCCAGGTTGCACATGTACACGCTGACCACCGAGTGCACGCGCAGGGCTCTCACAAACACCCAGAGGGCCAGCGCGTTGAGGGGAAGGCCGGCCGCCAGCACCAAGCTGTACACCACCATGTGCAACTGATGTGTTGTCCTGTAGTCCCGGCAAGGGGGTAGAGTGCCGTTAGAAGAAAGATCGCTGGAGGAATTGGCCACCAGTGGCGAGCTGGTCCACATCATGGCGGCTGAAGAGGAGATCTAGGCGGGTGGCATCATGGTACATATCCAGAGCTCCCTGTCACCCAGAGCCTGGGAATTGGGGGGTAGGGGGGCACAAAGGGTTTGCCCAGGGTTGACTTGGAGGCAGGAGGTCATGGTTTCCTCCGCAGTGAAGAGCTGGAATTGGAAAGCAAGTGGAGTTGAGTGAGAGGCGTGTGCCGTGGGGTGCGCCTGTAATCCCAGCTACTCAAGGGGCTGAGATAGGAGGATCGTGGTTCCCAAGGCAGCCCGGGCAGACAAGTTCTTAGAATGCTTTTCTCCAATGAACCAGCAAAAAGCTGGATGTGGAGATGTGGCCTTGAGCCCAACGAAAGCTGACTGAGAGAGAGCTCAAGGCCCTGAGTTCAAGCCCCAGAACTGGCACAAATAAAAACACACTCCGTACCACCTAAGTGTAACTCCTGTCTCATTTTTGAGCCACTCCATCTGTGACCCCCCCAAAAAAAAATTCATCTTGCGCACTGGTAGCTCCCACCTGTAATCCCAGCTACTCAGGAGGCAGAGAGCTGAGGATCATGGTTCAAAGCCAGCCCAGGCAGGAAAGCCCATGAGACTCTGATCTCCCATGAACCACCAGAAAACCGGAAGTAGAGCTGTGGTTTCAAGTGAGGAGCTCTAAACTTGAGCAAAAGAGCTCAGAATCAACTCCAAACCCTGAATTCAAGCCCCATGTGACACACACACACTCTCTCTGTCTCTGTCTCTCTCTCTCACACACACACACAATTTAATCTTTTGGGTTTTCTCTTCTGTGGTTGTTTGTCATGGACTTGAACTCAGGGCCTGAGTTGCTAACCAGCCACAAGGCTGTGATTTTGGCAGATTCCCTCCCCTCCCCCTCCCCCTCCCAAATGCTCACAGAGCTTTTAGAAGATTCCAGGCCTGTTCCTGTACCCAACAAAGGCCTTACCCAGCATACTTTAGATTCTATTAGGAGCCTGATCACACAGAAGTTAGTAAATAAAACCAAGGGCCAAGATAACAAGTAGCATTTTCTAGCTGTTATCAGCGGCCTTTGCTAGAGTCCACACTCTGAATCCCAGTTCAAAGTCTCAGCCTCCTTCCTGCCCTGGAGCGCTCAGCTGGGCTGCAGGATCACTCTGAACCTCAGTTTCCCCATCTGTCAATGGGGAAGCACACATGGCTGGGTTGGGCGCTGGTGGCCCCCACCTGTCATCCCAGCTTCTCTGGAGGCTGAGATCGGAGGATCCTGGTTTGAAGCCAGCTGGGGCAGACAACACTGGGAGACTCTTCTCTCCGGTCTGCCAACCAAGAGCTTGGATCCAGACACATGGCTCAGAAGGGGAGTGCCAGCCTCCAGTGAAAAAGCCAAGGGGATAGAGCTAGAGAACATTCTAGAAGGATCCTGTGATGGAGACTTTAGACTGGGAGGGAAGTGAGACCAGGAAATGTTGTCGGAGCGGGCAGACAGTGCCAACCACAGCACCTGCCGTCTCTGCAGACAAAACTGGTAACCACACACACAGGACCGAGAGAAGGAAATCGGGGGAACGGATGTGGGCTGCGGGCCCCCCCTCCCCCACAGGAAGTCCCGCCCACCCCAACTTCATAGCTAACTTGTGTGCATGTGAGTGCACACATACATCGCACCAAAGGGTGCCTTTGTGTGTGTGTGTCTGCGCCAGCCCTGGGCTTTGTGCTCAAGGCGGGCGCTCTACCACTTGAGCCACAGCACCATTACTGGTTTTCTGGTGGTTCATGGGAGATCAGAGTCTCACGTACTTTCCTGCCCAGGCTGGCTTTGAACTGCGATCCTCAGATCTCAGCCTCCTGAGTAGCCCGGATGAGAGGCGTGAGCCACCAGTGCCCGGCTGCACCTGCCTTTTTAGAGGTGCCCACCCGAGCCCTAGGAACACATTTATTCTACTTCCCCCCTTGTCCATTTGAAATGCAGTAGAAGAATCTGCTTCCTTCTTGTTCCAACCACAAAACTGGCAAACTCGACTTTCGAGCACACACAGACGCAAGTATGCCTCCTGACACTTTCTCCTTATAAGTACTTAAGCAATGAAGCCGGGCACAGTGGCACCCACCTTTAGTCCCAGCTATTCAAGTGTCTGAGTGCAAATGGAACTGGAGGTCAGGGATTCCAGACCAGCTTTGCCAACAAAGTGATTCTGTGTTTAAACAAACAAACAAACAAGAACCCACTTTGTTTTGAATTCCTTAGAAACTTTGTGTTTCTGTTTCCCAGAGTAGAAGGTAAAGTTCTAGTTGAAAATGAGCACCATGGCGGGGCGCTGTGGCTCCCGCCTGTCATCCCAGCTACTCAGGAGGCTGAGATCTGAGGATTGTGGTTCAAAGCCAGCCCGGGCAGGAATGTCCCTGAGACTCTTATCTCTCCAAGAAACTACTAGAAATCCTGAAGTGGTGCTGTGGCTCAAGTGGTAGAGCGCCAGTCTTGAGCTGAAGAGCTCAGGGACAGTGCCCAGGTCCTGAGTTCAAGCCTCACAACTGACAACAACAATAAAAGAATACCAGTTTAATCCCCACCCCACACCCAACCAGTGAGCCCACTCATAATTTTGTTATATTTGTTCTATCAAACAGGCAGTGTAAGCATTCGTCTCCATATTCCACAGGTAAAACCAGCCTGGTGGCAGCCGTGTGCTTTGAAAGGCCTGTTTACGTCGGGTTTTCCAGAACAGTTGATTCTATAATTACCGTGACCCACGACCACTTTTAACCATTACACGAAACACCCTACAATTAGGAAGCTCAAAGCCGGGCATGGTGGCGCACGCCTGTAACCTTGCAGGAGGAAAGATTTGACATTTGAGATCAGCCTGGGCAAAGTTTTACTGAGACCTTATTTCAAGGTGGCTCAGTGGTAGAGCGCTCACCTAACATGCATGAAGCCCTGGGTTCGATTCCTCAGTACCACATACACAGAAAAGCTGGAGGTGGCGCTGTGGCTCAAGTGGTAGAGCGCCCACCTTGAGCTGAAGAGCTGAGGGACAGAGCCCAGGCCCTGAATTCAAGACCCACGACTGACAAAAAAAAAAAAAAGGTCTCCGGACTTTCTTGCCCGGGCTGGCCTTGAACTGCGATCCTCAGATCTCAGCCTCCTGAGTTGCTGGGGTGACAGGCGGGAGCCACCGGCCCCGCTCCGCATTACGTGTGTGTCTCATGGATTCACCCCATTTTTCAGTAAAGGAAGGAGCTGGGGAGATGCCATTTGGTGGGGAGGGAGGGGTCCCTTCTTCTTTTGGAAGACCCCATGAACAGAGGCAGGCAGAGACCTTCCATGGGGTGATCCAAAGGCCCAGAAATTCCTCTACACGTCTGCTAACTTGGGCTCAGAGGCTGAGATGATTTCTTCTCTGAGACCAGCCAGGACTGGGGTACTATGCCCTCCAGTTCCAATAAACTATTCCTGAGGGCTGAGGGAGCGTGCTTGTCTAGAAGCCCAAAGCCCTGGGCTCCATCCAGCAGCCAGCCCATCCATCCATCCATCCATCCATCCATCCATCCATCCATCCATCCACCCACCCATCCATCCATCCATCCATCCATCCACCCACCCACCCACCCATCCATCCATCCATCCACCCATCCATCCATCCATCCATCCATCCACCCACCCATCCATCCATCCACCCATCCATCCACCCATCCATCCATCCATCCATCCACCCACCCACCCATCCATCCATCCATCCATCCATCCATCCATCCACCCACCCATCCATCCATCCATCCATCGTTCCAAGCTGCGTGTGGTAGCATACCCCTGTAGTCTCAGCTCCTCAGCAGGCTGAGATAGGGGGATCACTTGAAGCCAAGGGGTTTCAACTCCCTTTGGTTAACAAGGGGAGACTCCATGTCTAAAAGGGGGTGCGCATCCAGGGTTAGCAAATAGCTTCTTGTACAAGCTCCCAGGTCTTGTCCCCAACACGAAATCATTTGAAAGAAATATTAAGTTCTACTTTGGTTCCGTGGGGAAGATACACAATAAGCAACACAGCCCCTTGGCAGGGTTTTTAAGTGTGTGTGTGTGCGTGTGTGTGTGTGTGTGTGTGTGAACTGGTACTGGGACTTGAACTCAGAGCCCGGGCTGTGACCATTAGCCGTTTCAGCCAGACCTCCACTTCCGGCTTTCGGGTGGCTCCTTGGGGCTGAGCATCTCCCGGGCTTTCCTGCCCTGGCCTCAGCCCTCAGCCCTCCTGGGTAGCTGGGATGACAGGCGTGAGCCACGGCGCCCAGCTCATTGCGTGGCGGTTCCAACCCAGCCCAGGGAAGCCCAGGAGACTCTGCTCTCCAGTGAACTGCCAAAAAACTGGACGTGGAGCGGTGGCTCAAGTGGCAGAGCGCCATTCTTGAAGAAAATAAAAGAACCAAAGGGACAGAGCCCGGGCTCTGAGTTCAAACCCCAGTACTGGCACCAAAAAAAAGGAAGAGACCGAAAAAAGAGTTTCGATGGGGAGAGGATCCATCATTTCCGCTCTCCCCACATTCTACAAGAGGGGTGCAACCTCCCTGTGTCTATGGGGGGCCCCCACCCCCACCCCATGACCACCCTGGCCTTACCTGAATCCTCCACTGCTCCAAGCTCCATGCCACACCATTCTGAGCTGACCAGGGCTGGTGCGACCTGCTGTAGACCCGGCCTGGGAATGACTGCCACACCTTCCCTAATCTCAGCTCTGTGCCCTGGCTCGTAGAAATCCCCCAACCCCCACAAAGCGCAGGAGAGAAGAGAGAGACAGACAGACAGAGACAGAGACAGAGGGGGGGGCACAGTGATCTCAGAAAGCTTCACAGACAGACCACAAAAGAAAGCTCCAGAAGCGAATGTTCAATCCAGCCCCAACTCGAGTTCTGTCACCGACTTCACGTCGGCCGTTCACACCCGCCTGACGTTTCCAGGAACTCTGGCCCGGGCACGCCCACCCCAGCCCGGTGACTAACACACTGCGGCTCCTACCTGTCCCCGCCTGCCCTGCCCTTCCTCTCCAGCCTGCCCTGGAGGCTGAGCCGGGCTCTGCTGTGCCCTCCCTGAGTCCCGGCTCCACCCTGCCCCGCTGGCTGGTGAAGCTGGCCAGGGGGCCAGGGGGAGTCCAGAGGATCCAAGTTTGAAGGCAGCCTGGAGAGGAAAGTCTGGGAGACTCTGATCTCCAAGGAAGCAGCAAAAAGCTGCAGGGGCGCTGTGGCTCAAGTGGTAGAGCGCCAGCCTTGAGCCAAAGAGCTTAGGGACAGCACCCGGGCCGTGAGTTCAAGCCCCAGGACTAGTGTAGAGACGAAAGCAAAACGGGCCACGGGAGCTCCACGCAAATAAACGTTTTATAGAAAAGACATGGCCGGGGGTGGGGAGATTTCCCATCAGGCACCGCCCTGGGCCCCCGGATGCAGGGCCTGGGCAGGGATGGGGGGGTGGGGGCCCCCAGCTCAGCCGAACTGGCCCAGGGCTAAGGTGCTGAACTCCTGGCTCCAGCGCAGCACCACCTCCTCGCTCTTGGCCGGCGTCAGCACACTGTACGTCTCGTTCTGCAGACACCGCATGCGCGACACCTACAGCACAGAGGCAGCCGGGCGCCGGTGCGCACACCTGTCATCCCAGCTCCGAGATGTGAGGAGCGCAGGTCCAGGCCAGCCCAGACAGGAAAGCCCCTGACTCTCCTCTCTGAGAAGAACAAGCTGGACCTGGCGCCGTGGCTCAAGGGGTAGAGCACCAGCCTGGGGCACAAGGAGACTCAGGGATGGCACCCAGGCCCTGAGTTCTAGCCCCAGGACTGACACACAATAAAGAGAAACAACAGTCCTTCATCTAGGCTGGGCAGGTGGCTCAGTGGTAGAGCGCTCGCCTCGCATGCATGAAGCCCTGGGTTCGATTCCGCAGCACCACAGACACAGACAAAGCCAGGAGTGGCGCTGTGGCTCAAGTGGTAGAGCGCCCGCCTTGAGCCAAAGAGGCTCAGGGACAGCGCCCAGGCCCTGAGTTCAAGACCCCAGGCCTGGGAAAACAAAAATCGAGCTGTCAGCCCATCTGAAGGCTCCCAATTTTCCTACTTCCCCCTGCTGTCTAGCTTGCTAGCTCTTCAGAAGGTCAGGCTTGCTCCTGGACCTGGGGTGCGGGGTGGGGGGCCTCCTGTGGAGGCCCTTCCCCCAGAGTTGCCAAGTAAGAAACTGCTCCCCGCACCCCAGGGAGACCTGGGGCGCTGGACGGAGGGGTTGTGAGGGTAGCATAGGAGCTCACCTTCCGACTCTGGTTCCTCATCAGACACTGTTGGCTTTTGAAGGCGCAGTAGTTGGGATACTGGACATAGTCGGTGTCGCAGATCTACGCCGGGGGAGGGAGGAAGAGGGGCGGTCAGGAGCCTGGACGGGAGCTGTGGCTCAGCCCGCCATCCCAGGAGGCTGAGAGCTGAGGATCGGGGTTCAAAGCCAGGCTGGGGAAGGAAAGGGGCCTGTCCCTGCTCCCGTGTGCGTGTGTGCTGGACCCGGGGCTCGAACTCGGGGCCCGGGCTCTGGTGGCGGCCGGGATTGCAGGCGTGCGCGCCCAGCCCGGCTCCCTCCCGGCCGGCTGACCTTGGTGGGGTAGTCCCCGTCCTGGAAGCTGAGGAACTCGGCCTGCAGCCAGCCGGACACGCGCGCGTCCTCGCAGCCCTTGGTGGCCAGCCGGGCGCACCAGAAGTCCATGCGCAGGCCGCCGTACAGCTCCAGCCCGTAGAAGCGGCCGCCCTGCCGGGCCCCCGCCTGCGACGCAGCGACGCGTGCGT